TTCTTTACAGTTGACTACTAAATCCTTTTTGCTTGCTCTCTCTGAAACTTACTAATTTTCCACACCCCCACTTTCCACTTTCTCAAAACATTTTCATTAAGGAAAATATTAAATTTAAAAGGTATCTAATATATAGCACTGTTAGCTCTCACTACACAAAACACTGTTAGATCTTTATACACAGAATACAACACTCAGGTACTTACATGAAGTAGTGGGGTTTCAACTACTTCTCGCAATTTCTCAATTTGTTCCTTACAGCCACCAACATCACTATATGTGACATCAGGCTTTTCTTCCACCTAAGAGAGGGATAGAAATATGCAACATATAATCATAGGCTTTGAGTATTAGTCCTAATTCATCAGAGTAGACCTAATACCCCCAAAATAAATAAATAAATAAACAGATTTATAACAAGTGAGAATTTTAATAAAAATAGAACAGAGCTGGACACGGTAACTCACACCTATAATCCTAGCACTCTGGGAGGCTGAGGCAGGTGGATCACTTGAGCTCACAAGCTCTATACAAGCCTGAGCAAGAATGAAACCCTATCTCTAAAAATAGCCAGGTGTTATAGTGGACGCCTGTATTCCCAGCTACCTGAGGCAAGAGGATCACTTGCAGCCTGAGGCAAGAGGATCGCTTGAGCCCAAGAATTTAAGGTTGCTGTGAGTTACGATGTCACAGCACTCTACTGAAAAAATGAGAATCTGTCTCAAAAAAAAATACATAAATATGTACATAAAAATGGAATACACCACCAGGTATTTTACTAGAACTACCTGTTATATTACTTGTTGTGACACTAACAGAGACATACTAGTAAAACAAAGACCAAAGACTGCCTCACCTGAAAAATCGTTTTAAAAGTTTTGGCAACTCTTTGGCATATACTCATATATTAAGTTTACTAGAGAAAGATTTCAAACTTTTTGAGATGAGAGATGCAATTGTATTAAATGTCGTGCCATTCCTCTTACCTTCCCATAATTTCTTACCTGCATCATGGTAACTGTTGGGTCGATCTTAGGCGGCAGTGGAATGTGAATTTGGTATTTATTTCTGTCCACACTAAGGAAGCAAAAAAGATTCTCACTAATATATTCTTTAAGATTTCAAAGTGCTTTTATGTTTAGTCTTTTATTCTCAAAACCATACTTTAAACAAGCAAGAGAGAGACAAAGACCCTAAAGTTAAACAAAGAGAAACAAAGAAAACATTAAATCTTTTGATACTAAAAGAACCAACCTATACAACGGCAACTAAACACTTGACTCAAGAAGGGCAGATTTTAAAAATGTACTGAGTGAATTATTATGTATTCTATGGACATTAACTCACTTGATCATAAGTATCCTAAAGCCATTACATCCCCCAACCTATACCATTGTAACATAAATGGACTGGTAAATTCAACTCCCAAATCCTGCACTTACTTTGATGATGACATTTGAAGCCAACTATAAAAAGCAATAGCAGCAGTAGCGGGTTGGGGAAGCTGGTGGAAAGGTAGGAAACAGATGCAGAAGGACTTTTCAACTGGAGTACATCACTAATTATCCCTCGGTAATCCAAGGCACTTAGTTCACTTATTCACAGCAAAGCCAAGGATATGAATGCATGAATGCACTACAGTATCTTTAACAATAGAGAAGTATTATATTCATTGTAAATAACCATCTTACCCAACTCTCATCCCTTCTTCAATGTCAGTAGGTGCTACCTGATCACTGAGGTCCACCACAAACTTGGCAAACTGCTTCACGTTGATAATGTATTTTGGATCCTCTGAATCAGCATTGATTATCTTTGTACATCTAACACAGCAAAAGGCTTGATTAGAGTAAGGAACCTAAACCACTATAATGAATTCAAGTAATTAGACTCTATCCTGGGCATGCAGTACACAGCTGTAAACTAGAACTTGAGAAACTGAGCCATTGTCATGGATCTTTTTCTATGCTTAACTCTAAAGGAACATTCAACTTTAGTCACCCATAAAATTTTCAAAAGATACATTCCCCTGGAAAATTAAACCCAAATATTTCTTTCTTTCTTTTTTTTTAAACCCAAATATTTCATCATTAAGAAGTTCTCTATGGCTTGGTGCCTATAGGAGAGTGGTTATGGCAGTGGCCACATACACGGAGGTTGGCAAGTTTGAACCCAGCCAGGGCCAGCTAAACAACGACAACTGCAACAAAAAAAAAGCTGGGTATTGTGCCAGGTGTCTGTAGTCCCAGCTACTTGGGAGGCTGAGGCAAGAGAATTGTTTAAGCCCAGGAATTGGCAGTTCCTGTCAGCTTTGCTGTGAGCTGTGATGCCATAGCACTCTACTGAGGGCAACATACTAAGACTCTGTCTCAAAAAAAAAGTTCTCTAATTTCTTGATTTTCATAATTATGTTCCTTTATTAGAAGCAATACCCTTTTATATCTTCAGTTGCTCTCCTTTTAATTTTCCTTGTGAGATGACAGTCACCTTATCTATACATCAAATTCAGAAATAAACATGTTCCCATTCTCTCCTGAGTTTATACTTCAAATCCATGTGTACGCTGCTATTTTTAACTTAATTATATTCATTTTCTATACGACCTAGTGAAGGTGAATTTATAATACCATCTACACCATAGTATGAAACAGTCAACTTTCTTTCCTCTGCTACATTGTCTATTATTTGTCTACTGAAGGAAAAAACAAAACAAAACAGAACTCATGTTAGAAAAGAGCAACAAATACAAAGAAATATAAACCCACCTCTGGCATATGCACATAGGCAGAGCTGAGAGTAGGGTACAGAGCACTTTGTCCTCATAGCATACGGTAATTGTGTGACAGGACTCCGTTTTCTGTTACTAGCCAAGGTCTACTAGGGAAGAAGGATTACATACATACACAGTTCAGCCTCTGTAAGCTGACCGTGGGTGTAAGGAACTGCCACAGGCTGGTCAGCATATGGAAGTGGTCAACATAAGGAACTAGGCCTCCCGTACTGATAACGTGCAGGTGGTGCATGTCCAGCCTACAAAAAGTAGATCAGCTTGAGGAGGTAGACAATATAGGGAGGTGGTCAGCAATGGAGGTGCTACTGTATGCAGAAAGAAATCTCATTACCACTTAATCCAATAGACTGGGCCACAACTATATGCACAGATAAGCATTTTTTAATCTACAGTTTTAAGAGTACAGAGATAGTGACTTCCAGAATGGCAGAATAAGGACTTTTAAAAATCTGCCCCTCTACAAAAGTAACAGGAACACTGGCAGAAAAGGTCTGAAAGCCCTCCCCAGAGAGCTGTCAGGTATCTGTCCTATTAGGCAGCCACCTGGGAAGTGCCACTCTCCGAGCTTGTCTTCACCTGACCTAACTGACAGCTCCCCCTGTCTGAGTGAGCCCTACCAGCTGGGTAATTGTTGAAAACAATTATCTGCATTTGTTTAACATCAGTTGGGGCTAAACAGAGGCTGAATAAAAACCTTGAAAGGACAAACAAGAGTAACAAACAGCAACAATAATAATTGTTGAGGAAAGGGAAAATCTGACTTCCAGAGGTGACACACTGTCTTACTTACAATGTCTGATTTCTACAAAAAAATAACCTGAGTTACAAAAAGAAACAGGAAGTTACGGCCCATAGACGGGGAAAAAGCACTTAATAGAAACTGTCCCTGAAGCAGCCTGGATGTTGTTCCTACTAAACAAAAACTTTAAATCAGTACCACAAATATTTTCAAAGAACTAAAGGAAACCATGTCTAAACAATTATTGAGACATGTGAGAATAATGTCTCACCAAATACAAAATATCAACAAAGACAGAAATTAGAATGGAATATAATTTGACTACAAAAAGAAATTGTGATACATATTACAACATGAATGAACCTTGAAATACACTAAGTTAAAGAAACCAGAAACAAAGGTCATATGATATATGATTCTATTCACATGATACACCCAGGATGGGCAAACTCACAGAAACAGAAAGATTTAGTTGTTGCCAAGACCCAGAAAGAGAGAGGGATGGAGGCTGCTAAATAGGTATTGAGTTTCTTTGGGGGGTGAAAAAAATATTCTATTCTAGAATCAGATAGTGGTGACCAACACATAACTTTCTACATATTCTCAAAGCCAAGCCAGACATGGTAGCGTACCTAAAGCATTAAGAGTGAACTTTATGAATTTTATATCAATAACATTGTTATTTTAAAATTCATAAGCTTAAAACTATACACATATAAATTTTATCATGAGAGAGTGTAAGACTTAAAGTCAATGGGTATTCTTTCAAAATAATCTTTGCTTTGTATAAAGACCAAAGATCTTACAGTGGTAGGGGTGGCTCTGTAGCTAGTCTGTCAATTAAAGAAGCATCAGAAAAATCCATATGCAAAGGCATTTCCCTCTAACTGCATTACTGAAAAAAATTCCTCTCCTATGGCCTACAGAAATGCACCTACACTTATAAATTGACCAAACCAAAATTTATTTCAGAATTAAATTCCAATCCTAAACTACCTGTAGAAGATATGCTTCTCTACCTAAAAAGCCACAGTGGTCATGCCTATTATAATCCCAACAATTTGGGAGGACTGCTTGAGGCCAGGGGTTTAAAACCATCCTGGGTAACATAGTGAGACCCTGATTCTACAAATAAGAGAATTAGTTAGGTATGGTGGCATGCACTTATAGTCCTAGCTACAACAGAGGCTGAAGCAGGAGAATCACTTAAGCCCAGGAGTTTGAGGTTCCAGTGACCTATGATCCTGCCACAGCACTCCAGCCTGGGTGACAGAAAACCAGACCCAGTTGCTAAAAAAAAATTAAAAGTAGGCCAGGCACCGTGGCTCACACCTATAATCCTAACACTCTGAGAGGCTAAAGCAGGTGGATTGCTTGAGCTCAGGAGTTCAATACCAGTCTGAGTAAGAGTAAGAACCCATCTCTATTAAAAATAGAAAAACTGAGGCAGGAGGATCTCTTGAGCCCAAGAGTCTGAGGTTGCTGTGAGCTGCAATGCCATAGCACTTTACCGAGGGTGATAAAATGAGACTCTGTCTCAAAAAAAAAAATCAACATAGGAAATAAACATCTTTCCTATGTTCTAAGAAAAAATACATATATACTAATTTTATAATAATATAAAATGATTTAATGTTATTAAATTAATTTAGTAATTAATTTAATAATTATTAAAATAACTTTTTAATAATAAAAAAGAGAGGGCTGCACCTGGCATAGTGACTCACACCTATAATCCTAGCACTCTGGGAGGTTGACATGGGAAGATTGCTTGGGTTCAGGAGTTTGAGGCCAGCCTGAGCAAGACAGAGACCTCATCTTTACTAAAAACAAAAAAAATTAGCTGGGCATCTAGCCCAGGTGGGGTTTTCTAGGCAACAATCAAAAGGTAAAATGAAAATATTAATGTAGTATTTTACCTCCTAAAAATTTTAAGTATTAGTAATAACAAAATGTGCCAGGAAGTTAAAACTCAAGTGACAAAGTAAGAAAAAAATCTGTGGCATATTTAAGAAAAGATTAACATGTACAATATATGAAATGCTTCTGAAAATTAACAAGAAACAATCCAAGAACAAACATGAGTGGTCAAAAAAATACACTTTATTAGTATAAGAAGTGGCTATCATACTATTTAGTTATTAGCACAGTGCAAATTAAAATGAAATATTTTCCCCTAAACAGCAAAAGCATAAAAACTGATAATCACATATTGATCAGACAAATGGACATTTGCCTCAAAGCCTCTTGGTCAGAGTATAAACTGGTCAAACCCCTTGTTTTCACAGATTTTTCAAACTATAAATGCCTTTGACCCTAGACTTTCACTTACAGTAATTTAGGCTATAGAAATGTGTGCACATGGCTTGGTGCCTGTGGCTCAAGTGGCTAAGGCGCCGGCCACATACACCTAAGGTGGTGGGATTGAATCCAACCCAGGCCCGCCAAACAACAATGAC